AAAGAAGTATTTCTTTGTTAAGGGTCGCTCGCCCGTCCACTCGGCATTGCTCTTTTGCGCTTGACTCGCGAACTGCGTTCTTTCTTATATTTTTCTTTTTTATGAACACTATCCTTGGAGTTCAAAAGCTATATGTAGCCTGCTCAAGAGTCAGATCTTCTCGCAGCCTATTTATCCATGCCCCAGGTGGACGTACTTCCAATGTCGTCTATCAAGAGGCTCTTCGGTAAATAAAACTAATTTTTTCACAGATGTGTGATACACACGAGTACAACTCATCCCAATTTGACATTTTCCGTTTTTTCTAAGTGACGTAGATAACACATGGTCCACAGTATATTTTGTTAACTTATATTTAATTGTTATAATAATGTACAATAAAAAATGTAGAATGTAATGTAAATAATGTACAATTAATTTGTTTGTTAATTGTTAAATTAATGTATTATTTATACACACAACCCGTACGAAGGACGGGCACACAGCTAGTGTTATATAAGTTAGTTGCCCATTCGAAAGCATCATACAGCAAATTTTAGACTAAGTTATTCTTGTATTTTTTTCATTCGAATCGCTGTCACCAGACAGAAGCTCATAAGAAAAACAAATCATCTAGGATTCCGTTTGATTAAAACATTTAAAAAACAAACATTTTTCGTTTTATCACGACATTGTTTCATTCAGAGTAAATCCACATAAAGCTGTTGTTGTTGTTTTTTTCTTATTTTTTGGTTTATTTTTCTATGAATCTTATATTAGAATTTTTTAAACTTAGTCTAGAACAAAGATGCATCATCACGTACAACATGATAGCAATGGTGATGAAACCTCTTCTTCATCTCTCTTTCCTCACCGGTATCCAGGCAACAAATCGGTGTTTAGTAGATTGTCGCACTATGTTCGACCAAAACCACTGAAAGTTTTGGTACTAGGCCTTGCAGGAGTAGGAAAGTCAGGTGAGTCATAATTTACTCTATTTAAAAGTATGTGTTTGTGTCTTTGTTTCCGAACACGACGTGAATGGATTGTATCAAATTTCTTGTTGTAAACTGAAGAGTCATTACTGTTCACTCCGAGTGCCTACTTGCTTCCTTGAAGAGGCAAACTTTTCTAATAATTGATATTCATTTTATTTCAGCAAATTTTGCTTTACTTACGTATTTCAAAAAAAGCTTAGAGAACTGGCATAAAACATTCATACTAGATTTAATGAGAGTATTTCTTTATTTTTTGAATTACGCGTTCCAAACTTTCTCAAGCTAAACGGGTATGACAACTTGATATCAATAAACAGGCAAATTATGCAACTCATGGGCTGAACGGCCAAGGTTTAAGTCCAGCCGTTATTAACTTAGAACTTCTGATAAGCAGGAGGGAAACCCACCGCCTGTCTGGCCACTCTTAACTGAATAGCGGGATTAACTTTTATTTTTATAAAACATTAATAGCTGCATTTTGCAGCATGTCGTGGGCTCGAACCTCAAATTTTCCAATCCACAGTTCGGCACACTAACCACTGGATCACGCTCAGCCTGAATCTCAATTGAAGTTACTAAACAGATGGTTGATCTCATACAGCCAACGTTTGTCTTCTAATGCAGATATGTTATGACAGTAAGATGGAAAAAATTCTCATCTGCCTTCAGTGGCTCAGCGAAAATATTGCGAGCTTTTAACTTTTTAAAATCGGGTTTCTATACCCAAGGTTATCACACAGATAGCCAATTGTGTAGCCTTGCGCTTAACAATAAGCAAAAAAGCTTCTCATCCTCATACCTTATGCTGCTGAGGCTTACACTATTCAAATTATTCCACAAAATAAAAAGGTATCTATAACGTTACGGTTCTGTGTTCATGTTCACTGAAATTAATATTTCATCTGCTTCTAACAATCAATCGTAGCAGTTTAGTATATTCACTGAAATATTTAAACACTTATGGAGAAAAGATTGTGGCATTTGTGAACAAAGTAAAAAAGATCAGTTAAGCCTTACGCGTCGAAATTAGGCCATCAAAAATAAGCGAAGAAGCAAAGCTCACGGTTCGGTTAAAACAGAAACGAACAAGAAGAATGTATTTTGCTTTCCTAGAGAACACAAACAACAAAAGAAAGAGCTTTCATGGAGACTCCTTCATGAAAAGACCTTACGGTATCTGGTTTCAAAAACAAATCATGATGGACAGGCCTAATTTCGGGAGGCGAGGTATCTGAGGAATTTCGATCTATTTTCTCTCAACATCAAAACAAGCTAAATAGAAGCGAAGAAGCAGAAAATCTACAGATTAGTGGATTGATTTGATGGTCATTATATTCTTCTGAGAAACATCCTTATAAATTAGAAATCACCTGAGTTTGAAAATAGTAGGGAAATTAGTCATGCATTTAACAGTGAGAGTAAACAGAGATTATATTTCCTTCTGTATTTAAACATAAAACCAACGTCTCTCTATTTATCTAAACAACTTGTGACACTAGAATTGAAGCTGGCGTTTACTTTTTTATAAGTACAATATATTACATGCTTTGTAATATTACTACTAATAATAATAAGAACGTGGAGAAGACAAAATAGAAATATTGTGAACACTACAAACAAAAATATCCAATGATAGATAAAATAAATAAACATGTTTGACATAAATATTAGTGTACGTCAATATTGCAGTAATTTCCCACATCACAAACGGAAATAAACCCTGTGTAGCAAATTTTCTGTAAAGTGTAGGAACATACAAAACATCTGCCTTCTTAAAAAAACTGACGAATATAACTTTACTATAATGGACATAGTGTGTATGTTAGTATCTATGTATGTAACCAAAACTCCCTGGCCGTCTGTTGAATGGCACCCAAAACAAAAACCTATAAAATTTCACAATTTGGATATTCAAAATTCAGACATTTATAAAAATAATTGTGATATGGGCAACAACCGTTTATTTATAATAGAACACAATTTTAAATAAAAGTACTCTCCTCACAACAAGATCACGACGTTCAGTAGGACTGTACGCGAGGGTTTGATTATATATTTATTTGTGTATTTTTTAAATATAGTACTGAGAAACTGAAGTTCTTAAAAAACTATTATTTTTTATATAAACGGTACCACTTTTAATATATAAAAACATTACAGTTTATATCAGTAAAATTTATGAACATTTTGAGCTCTGTACATTGAATCATTTTGATGCAGTGATTTATGTATGACTAAAGATACAACCCGAACACTCTTCCCCTGCAGTAAATCCCAGGAACAAAATCATTTATTAGAATCTGTTTACTTTTTTCTAAGTTTTTTTACAATGAGGTATGAATCTACGATTAGTAATTACTAACGCAAGTAGCCGCCCTTAGGGCGACATTTCTTCTAGGGTGTATAGTTTTCAGAATCATCAGTACAATGTAAAAAAATTAATATGAAAATGATAAGTGTATCACAAACTATAGTATTCTTTTTTATCACGTATTCCTTCTAACGGAAAGTGTCTCACATGCAACACATTCTACACATCTAAATACAAAACATCTCTCATTAGTCAAAATTAGCACGTGCTCTACAAGTACCCTTTCAGTTTTTCTGTTTCTAACACCCCGTGTGCAGAATTGAAGATAATTGGCCATGATTTTTACAAAAACGAGAGAAAGTGTGTTCTCCTAAGTTAATTTCACCAGAAGGAATAAATAACGAACTTAAATGACATGTTTATTGTGTAAAAGTCAAAGTTAGCTGGAACTTCATTCAGGCAAGTGGTACACGAAAGATGGACTGGAATGTAACAGGAGTCACCAAGTAAGAGAGATCTTAGCTAGTACAAACTTACGAGCTTTCTAGTTCTTGTTCTTTTCATTTAGAGCTGCAGTACTGTATCATTTTATCAACTTTTGCAGCTATTTAAATTCTTATATTAGTTTTTGTAGTCTATGAGCTCAAAATTAGGGAAAACGCAGACAGGGTTTGTGTAGCTTTGCTTGAATATCCGAAACTTTAATTTTTTTTATCTAGTTTGAGATTTATTGTTGTATTTGGCTTTAATTAATTTTATACTTAATCTCGCGTTTCACAGTTTATCTGGGTCGGGTGTAGCCTAGGGTTAGCGTACTTGAGCTTGTACCCGAGGGTTCATGGTTCGCGGCCCATTGACGCAAAAACACGCGTCCAGCTTTGGGACCGTGCGTGCGCGACAATAGTGATGGTCAAATCCCACTGCTTGGTTAGAGAATAGTATCCAAAGAGTTAGCGGTGGGTGTTGTTTACTCGCTGACTTCCCACTAGTGCAGTGATTCCCAACTTTTGCTCCACCAAGGACCCCTTTTATTATCATATTTTCCCCCCATAGACCCCATGTTTTTGAAAGCTTCCGCCTACCCAACAAACTGTTTTTATTAACTAATAATTAAATTGTTCTCCCACTATCACTATCAAATAAAAGACATATATAACTGATTGTGCAATTAAAAAGAACATCATGTAGAGTCGTCAACTTTTTGAAGGCCATAGATAGGCCTAAATAAAATGTTTTTAATTGTGTACCAGTTTAACACTGCTCTAGTGTTTCATCTCTAAATGTACAGATAGCTCTTTATGCAGTTTTGCACGAAAATTCTGATAATAAACAAACTATTTTTGCACTTTATACTTATTGTTGTTTTTATTTTGAATATATCTTTACACTTATTGTTGAATTTATTTTGAATATACCTTTATACTTATTGTTGAATTTATTTTTTAAACTTTTGTATTTCATTTTGTCAGTTTATAATACAATATTGTTACGTCTCCGTTTGTTAATTAATTTTCCGTAACTTCGTTCCGACGAAACTTTAGCGACACAAGTCCTTACTTAATAAAACTGATTTATTCTTTCTGAATATAACTTTACCGATACACTTATTTTCAACAGTCGCTCTATAACAAACGCTATAACAACGAACCTTAACTTCAACAATACTTTCTGACTGCAGTTCAATTACTCACTACCTACACACATTGTGACGTCACGCCGTGACCATCTTATATATAACAGACCACCCCCAATCTAGCAAATGCTAGAACACTCCCGAAGGAACAGGATAGTTCTAGAAAACGGGTGGCGTGATACTAGTCACGTGATCTCGCTGACGCAACAATATTTTTATTGTTTATTGTTGATTTTTCATAAAGTTGATTAATTTAATATAATCGTCCATCTTGTATTTTGTCATTGTAAATGCTTAATTTTACTTGTTTTTATAGCTAACGGTGCCTTTCATTGTTTACCTGTTTTCAGTTGTTATTTCAATTTATTTTATGAGCGTTTCAGCTGTAATTGTTGTTTGTTTTTTTTTGCAGCTAACATTCTTCTAGATATTCATTAGTATTCTCCTTTATCTTTTTCAATGTTTTCAGCTATTATATACTTTTTAATCTCTTTTAATTGTTTTCCACTTTTTTGCAGCTATTATTTCATTTTAAGACAATCATTGTTCTGTAACTCCCGCGATATTCATATATGAATCATCTAATTAACATTCCAATTTTGTTAGGGATTTACAAAGTTCTTATGCAGTCAGTCTGTAATGTTTTCGATAGCTCGAAATATACAACTTTTTCCATAACTTTCTGCTCAGAAGACAATTTACAAAAAAACATCACGTGATAAGTTACTTACACAAACAGACTCGTTTGTTTCTTGAAGTATAACGTAGATTAGGAAGTAACGTGCGAACTCTTCCCTCGAGGGATTATATGTTAAAGTAGTACACTACAACTTGTTATTTGTGTAGTATGAACACATAGAAAACAAACTCACAAACATCGTTGTTCCGAGTATTGTATTAGAAGATCTATCACTTTTGATTTGACTGAGTTCAATTACAAATTGCGCTGTAGCAATGCCTGTAGAAACGACCCAGTTAAAAAAAGCTTTAGTCATATATAAAACAGTATCCAAGCTTATACTGTAAACAGAAGCG